ATTATGAGAGGATTGTTATGTGTTTAACCCGAGCTCTCCCCTTGAGAGGTTGAACCCGGCCCGTACATAAATAAAATCAAGCCCAAAAGATAGGCCCAAGCCCAAGCAAACATTCTCGGCCCGACATGACTAAAATCAAGGGTTAATGCCTCGAAAAATTCAAAAATGGTACGCGTGTGATAAATTTACCCCAAACTAACTTTTTGACCATCAAAAATCTCAATCTAGTAGACATGTGACAAATCTACCCTCTGTTAGTTTCCATTAAATTTTACCCAAACTAACTTACTGAGTTGGATGAAACGTGGCAATTGACAAGTGTACCGGTTTAGAGTTTTACCATTCATTTGTCATAAAATGTACCAGTTTGAGAATTTTCGTAGTGTTAATCCAATTTAACGGAAACAAATTATCTCCTGTACATTTATGTAAATATGGATACTTTTGTATTTTTTGCCATCGTATTTTCTCTTTACCATATTTTAAAAAAAAATATTATTGCGTTGTCTCTTAATATTTTGACCGTTATTTTTTAAGAATTTAAATTATTTAGGGCGTGGTGAAAGATGACCGTTGGGAGCTCGCGTTCTCTATCGCGTGACGACGGCCTCTTCAAAATCTTCTGCAGCGAGGTATGAATCTCTTTCTTTTTACTTTTGTTTCTTGATTGATTGTTGATGAGCAACTTGATTGTTGATGGGCGAGTTGCTTTCTGGGTCTGATTTTTTTGTAGCATCTGGTTGAAGAAATCCTGTTTTCTTATGGGTAGTGTTTGGTTTAGCACCTCCTCTCATCGTTTATGGGTTCTTCGACGGATCCATCTTCCTGTCCAATTGTTTCACGAACCGCATCTTGGTTTTGTTATTTGGTGGTGGGTTCTTTTACCTGGGAGAGAATTGTTTGTCTGAGGATGTCGTCTGAGGACGATGAACGGCAACACTGGTCGGTTTGTCTCTATTTGTTGCGGAATGTTTGTTGAGGCGAAAGATATGAGCTTTCGACATTCTAGGGACCGGAATGGCATGTGCAGAGAGGTGTAATAGTTTGGACAAGTTAGTGGGTTTTAGCAGATTCGGCGAAAATTGCGCTTACATGGATACTGGATGATTCGGACCAGATATGCAAATGGTTCTTTCTTGTTTGATCTTCGGGTTAGGATTGTACGTGTTCTGTTAAATAGTTAAATGGACTCGAATTGAAGAGTAAACAGAATCATGATCGATCAGTTCATCAATTTGGTTATTCGGCCTCCTAGGTACTTTGTCATTCTTGTTGTCTCTGCCATTTTTTTGTCAATCTTATCATTACTTCGTGGACTCTAGCCTGTAGGTTAGTTTTGTTGATGCAATAGAACTCGGAGTTTAAGTTCCCATTGAATGTTCTTTAGCTCTGTCAAATGTTTTAAGTGGTGGAGATAGGATTCATTTGTTTTGACCACTGTTACAGTATAGCAAAGTCTATCCTGATTGACTTTCCTTATTGACAAATACGGGTTGAGTTAAGAGAAAAGGAGTACAAAAAGGAAAAAGAACATTTTCTTTGGCACTAGGAGAAAAGAACATTCGATCTCTTTGGAGGAGAATCACATAATATCTCTCTAGGGCTTAAACGCCATCATGGTTTCTAAATAGCTTGTCATAGCCATTGCCTTTCTTTTGATTACTGGATTTTGTTGAAGCCGGACCTTGCTTTCTTTTGATGCTGATTACTTCACTTATTGACCATTACATTATTAAAATGAGGACGTCCACCTGTTTGTTCCCCTCTGAAAGTATATTCTTAAATGAATTCTAGATCCTTTCATTTTGCTCTTATCATTTACTTTAGAGTTATCTTTACATTGTATTTCACTGGGTTACTCCTCATGGAACCCCTCTCATCAAAATTTTGCAGTGTGGTCTAAGAAACTCATTACGATTTCCATCTCTTCTTGTCTACAAGTTGAGAGTAGCATCTTTTGGGTTTGTCTCAATAGAAAAAAGCTCTTATGGCTGTTTTTCTGTTAGAATCAATAGTTTGTGTGCGTTTGTTCTTTTAATAATGAACAGAATTTGAAAAATATGTTGACGGTTAATGTGCCCCCTCTGTTACATGACATACTGCTCTATATACAGGACAGAGTACAACCCTGACCAATACTTGTGGGAAATAGATTTTACTTTAGCAGGCAGGTCATATGAAAGACAAGATTTGGAGGCAAGTATGGACCACAATACCAACAAAATAACTATTGTTTTTTTCGTTTTCGCTACAATTTAATGCACATTTTTCGGTGGTTTCTGATCTTTTATGTCATGATGCTTCCATTTCAGCTTACCAACAAAAGAGGCCATACTCTGAAGTGTAGTCATTATGCTCCTTCACCTTTCCCGGAGGAAACGCCTCTTCCTTGTGTTATTTACTACCATGGGAACAGGTAGAAAATGTCGTAAATTTGACACGAATTTCATTATCTCAAGAGAACCTTAGTACTTAGTTTGCCTCTTGAGTTGTGGAGGACTAGATGTCTTGTGCCTGCACCCTATTTTTTCTTACTTTTAATTTGGTTCGTCTCCTATGCCATGGCTTTTCTTTGCTAGGAATCATTAAGGGAGTTAAAGATTCATTCTTTTTCCAAGGAAATAATTTTGATGGCTATTTAGAATAATTAGAAAATACATATGAGCTGTATTACAAATAGGCATGTAAAATCTCAGTGTCTTACTATAGTAAATCATGCAATGGATGTAGTGCAGATGCAAGTGAAGCTGTTGTTATTCTGATTCCGTCTAATATCACCATTTTCATGCTTGATTTTTGAGGATTTGGCTTATCCAATGATGAATTTGTCAGCTTGGGTTGGCACAAGGCATGTATACATGGGGTATTTGATGCAGCATTTAGCGAGTAATTCAAGCAAAACCTTGCTTAGAGAGAGAAATCTCAAAATTCAATATTGATGATAATGTTCTATCTTTCAAAAAGAACCCTAAAACAAGCTTATATATCCCTAAACCAAACCCTACTAGGACTATAAAGCATAAAATATCAAAATTACAAAACTGCCCTTAAAATTAAAACCCATAAAAAATATTAAAATAATAGAAAAAACCATGTAAACAATCCCGAATCACTAAAATCTATCGTTAGTCACAGCCAAAGGCGGTGAGTTGTATTCAGACCGCTGTTTCGCTTCAAACAACCAAATTGAGCCCGACCCGATGTCGTCAACCGGGTCCACCGGTTCTAGTTGCATCACCATTTCGCCTTCCGTTTGGACTTCTGCCGGTCCAACCAGTCCAGAAACGCACCACTAATAAATTCTACATCAGTATTACAAGTTATTTTCACATACAAAGCATGAAAGAAGCATCTATTTTGGCTTAACAAGGAAGACATTTTCTTGTTGATTCTTACAAGGTTACCGAGTGGCTATACCGCCAGTAAGTACCCTTCTCCCTATAAAAAATGAAATTCAAATAGCAAAAATTTCATCATAAAGAAAAAACCTTTAGTGTTCCCTGAAAATGAACATAAAAATGGAAATGTTCAGAGGAAACAAACTTTTTACAATGATTTCGAATTTCTTATTTATCTGAAAATTGTCCTTTTGCTTGACGGATCATTCATCTTGAATCAAATTCCCTGTAGAGATTAATCTAATTAGATGATCTTAACAATATGAAGAATAGATGTTAATCATGCCAAATGAGAAATACTTAGAATGAAGAAAGGCAAGCTATTCCTAAACATGTCCTTAAACACTTCGAGAGTTGAGCGAAAAAGAAAACTCACGTCGTTTAAGGACGAGGGATTCATTCGCAAGTGGTACATGGATCAAAATGATAAGAGGTATTTCTTTCCTCTATCTTGCACACTACAGGTGACCATAGTTAGCCCCTTTGAGCCTTACATGTTAAGAATTTTTACACAATACCCCTGTCAAGAACTACCCCACAATGGGGCAAATATAGAGGTTTTGGTTGATATTGTCTGGTGTAAAAGATGATAAAGACTTATTTGCCTTCACTTGCATCAATCTTCTTGTGTTGACGCTGTTAGGTTTTTTGGGTCTCTGTCTGGCTCTCTTTCTCTGTGTGCAGTGTCCAGCAGATGTAATGCAAGTTTTTCCCTGAAAGAGCTGTCACTATGAATTTACCTGGAGTTTTTGCCTCATATGAACAACATAACAGATATGTAAGGAGAGCTGTTTAAAGTGGGTTGTCAATCAAGTTTCTAAAGTGATATTTTGGCATTGACCTGCTGGCCTGTGATTGGCTTTAGCTCTCTTTAATTTTTCCGTAATTCTTCTCCCTCGCCAGCAAGGTTATCTAGTTTGTCTTATTTTGATATCCAAGTGCCTCCACTTGAAAATGGCCATGTTTCTTAGTAGACTATCTCTAGGAGCCCCTTTAAATTATTTCAGGTACCACAGTACCATTGGATGATTAGACCTTAAGGTACCCAATCTGACGCATCTCCCACTAATATTTTTTCTTTAGTGCTTGCTGATTTAGCTTTTCTAAGAATTTTCTATATTTGCTGGCATAATAGTTAGGATATTTGGCTGTTGGTGTTTCTTGCATTTTTTGTGTAACTAGCTGATGCAGACTTTCCCAGATGTTTCTTGAGAAGGAGAGGAAAGATTAATTGAAATTATTTCAATCACTTCACATTTATATCACAATGGTTTTATTTTACAAGATCATATGAGGGAAATTATAAATGATTTGTCCTACAAAAGTTCAGCTGGCTTACAAAATAACGTGTTTGGGGGAGAGAGAGAGAACTGGCTCTTTTTGAAGGTGGTGTTATGTTGTCAACCTTCGCTTAAAGTCAGAAGCCAAGAAGCTCTAGAGTCCCTACCATCTTCTTTTCTACTTATAACTGTGGGTCCTATAATAACTTTTCATATACTAATTGGTTTGAGATGGTTCACTTGATAAAGTACAACATATTGAGGGGAAAATCACTTGATAAAGTACAATACATTGAGGGGAACATCTGATTGGCCAGCCAAACAGGGTTGGCAGCTGTAGAGAAAGTATTATTTGTTTGCAACATTAGTTGTGTTAGATTGAAAGTTTATTTCTTATGGGATTTTTAATGTTAATGATTGAGCTAATAATAAATTAAATCATGCAATTGACATCAGAACTGTGAATGACAGAAATTTGGGGAGGCTGAGAGAGAGAAGGAGAAAGATGTTGACTACACCTATCTTCTATAGACTTTGTTCATTTTACACATTCTATTTTGCATGTCTGTTGGTGGTTAATTTAATTATTTTCTAACAGGCTAGTACAGTTTTTGTCTGTTAAATGAGTGAGGATGTTTTACTGTGCAGATCCTGATCATAGATCATGCGGACACCATTGCCACGCAGGTACAGCTTGCATCTGCTTTTTTGTTTACGATATGTCTTGTATTGTGGTAGAACTTTTAGATTTTAGCTATTATATTTCTTCTTGACCCATGCTGGCTTAAAATTTCCAGAATTGGTTACATGTAAACAGTGTGGTTGAGCAGCTGAACTGCTTACCCTCAAAGCAGCACAGAATGGATGTTACGCGCACGAGGCAGTGGTGAGTTACGCAAAGTACTTATTGTGCAGTCTTATGGTTTTTTCTTTCTTTCGTTTAATTGGCCTAAATGTGACATTCGCATTTTTTCTTTTCTAGGTACTGGGATGGATATGCAAGGTTCTATCATCATCAATAGTACCTGGGTATGTTTTGAATCCAGGAAAGTCAGACCCCAAATTCCTATTTTTCCCTGTCAAATGTCATCTTCCACAAACATCACAGTAGGCAAGTCTTGTGAAAAATAACAGGTACAAAATGTGTGCAAATTTTTTCCATTGGGGTAAGTTATATACAGGTTTAATTCAGTGAAAGAACAACCTTTGAAGTAACAAAGGATGTGTGTTATGTAGCTGTAGCCGCACTATTATTTCTTCATCAAAATTTCCCGTACTTGCTTGAAGCACAGGGCCTTCTGCAATCACTGTGGTCATGCACAAAGCAGCATACGGATGTTGAGTTCTTGTGTGTATATGTTCTTGTATGGTCATTGCACTGTGGTTAAATTTCACTTTCTCTTTTCCATTTTGTTCTTTTTGGGTGGTGAGGTTTTTGGGGCTATCAAATTGCTGTCGCTCTTCTTGGGTTTCAGATGCACAGGATGAGGAATAGCTAACTCTTCGATAAAGTATATCAGGTGATCTAACCTGACAATACTCTTGCAGATATGAATGCCCTGTTCAATCATCACTGCCTTAATTATGAGGGAAAGGTATGTAGATTTTCTTTCTTAGTAAACCTTTGAGGTGCTTATCAAAGCATTCATGGCCTTTGCTATGTCTAGACCATTTAATTTGATGCTATGTTTAGAAGGGATGTGAGATGAATGCAATTTTTAAGGTCCCTCTTTCATTCTACTAATTCTTGGAGCAAACATACTGAAATGTTTGGAGACGCAAATTTCTCTGAGATGATTTAATTTATATCTTGTCGGAAAAGTATTTCGAAAGAGGTGCATAACCATGCCCAATGGAAATATATGTTGAAGAATATTGAAGAATAAATACAAGTGCTTGTTTCACCATTGAAATGAATGAGGCATAAGTCCAAACAAGTGAACTGAATGACCCATATCTAAGCAATTAACAAGTAGAAAGAAAGCTGGAATTATGACTGACAGGTCAACTTCCCTAGGTTCTCCTTAAATTGCAAAAAGTTGTGTTGGCGCCGTTGCCACTCTTCTATCTCTAGGCTGAATGACTTTCTTCCTCTTTCATGGCTGCAGTGATGAAATTTATAAGAAAACAGTGACGTTTTCTAAAAAAATATGTTACATGTATTTCTTATCATGTTGGCAATATAATCAGTTCTGTCTTTGACTCTTTAAGTTTGTGACTTGCCCTTCATTTCCTTGCTTAGACTCCACAGCTGTAGCCCATATTCGGGTTTGATTCGATGCTTCCTTCTCCGTAAATCCTTGTTTGCATGCATCCATTATTGGTTCCAAATGGAAGTCAGTTTCTGAGTGAGCGTTTATGATGGATAAGGGGCTTCGAAATCATAAGCAGGGAATAATGCATAAGCGGTTAGAGTCCAGTCTTATTTCTGGACGTCACGGGTTTTGTCGATGCTTCTTTTCTTTTTGAATTCTTGAAAGTGTGTTGTATCACATACTCCGGAAAGATCGTAGGTTCATGCTAGGACAACCTACGGATGATTGTCTACCTTTCAAATGTTTTGTGGAGAAAGGGAGCTCGCTTAACATTTTCCTTCCCACGTTCATTTGTGATTGTTTTTCAGATTATTACCTTTAGGGTACAGTAGTGAAGCTTCTGTACAGAAATCAAATAATTTGCATTATTTATATGCATGCCTTTTGAAGTCAGGCATAAGCTTGTTATTCTCGTAAGTTCAGTTTCTTCGTGCAGGTATTCCCAAAAATTAAAGACAGGTATGTTAACTGGAATTAGCATAGATAAGGATTATTGATCCAGATATCCATCATCCACCCCAACCCCCGTAACACACACACACACACACAGGGACGTAGATTGCATTGCGTTACGTAGATTTGTAGGTTTTGCTGAAAGTTTTCTAGAATTTTTTATCTCTTCAATTTATAGATCTTCCTTATGGTATATGCAATAGATTTCTTGACCATTGAATTGGATGTTGACTGTACAATCTGCTATTTTCTTTGGGGGCAAGATTTCTGCTGCTCTATTTGTGTGTTCAATATGATTAGAAAATTTGTAGTATAAGGTTTCTGATGAACTTTTACGATAGCATGTTTTCGATTTTACTGTTTGTAGAGGCCAGTAAGGTAGCGAATGATAATCATTCTGTTCCAGAATGAGTTCCTGAACCAGAAATAGATTTTTCTATTTCTGGTTCCTGGATGAGTTTTTGAGAAAAAAAACCCGTTTGATAATGACAAAAAATTTCTATTTCTAGAATAGAAACCCGTTTGATAACAGCACAAAATTTCTATTTCCTGAAATAAAAACCCGTTTGATAAACAACAGAAAATTCTATTTCCAGGAACAAAAATCCATTTTTTTAGAAATGGAATAAAAATAATAAAAAATCCGAAAAATTCATAAAAATCTTTAAAAAAATTCAGAAAATCCCAAAAAATTGAAAAATTCCAGAAAAAATCATCAAAATGTCGAGAAAATAAAAAAAATTTAGATTTCGGGAAAATAGGAAATTTGTTGAATTTTTTCAAAAAAAATCAAGAAATCAAAAATTTCAAAACTTCACAGAATTGCTTAGAATACCTGTGGCCACCCACTTTTAGTGAAATTTAAATTTTTTTAGGTGCCCAAAAAAAATCAAAAAATCAAAAATTTCAAAACTTCACAGAATAGTTTATAATACATGTGGCCACCCACTTTGAGTGAAATTTAAATTTTTTAAGGTGCCCAAAAAAATTCAAAAACTCAAAAATTTCAAAACTTTACAGAATGGCTTAAAATACCTGTGGCCACCCACTTTGAGTGAAATTTTAATTTTTGGAGGTGAAAAAAAAAGCAAAAAATCAAAAATTTCAAAACTTCACAGAATGACTTAGAATACATGTGGCCATCCACCTTGAGTGAAATTTAAATTTTTTTAGGTGAAAAAAAACATAAAAAATCAAAAATTTCAAAACTTCACAGAATGACTTACAATACCTCTAGCCACCCACTTTGAGTAAAATTTAATTTTTTTTAGATGCCCAAATGGTATTTTTGATTTTATTTTTATTTTTTTTGGTTCCTAAAGAAAATTAAATTTCACTCAAAGTGGATGGCCACATGTATTCTAAGCCACTCTGTGAAGTTTTGAAAATTTTTCTTTTTTGCTTATTTTTATTTTTTTTTCGACACCTAAAAAAAATTAAATTTCACTCAAAGTGGGTGGCCACAGGTATTCTAAGCAATTATGTGAAGTTTTTTTATTTTTTATTTTTTTATTTTTTTCGGCACCTTAAAAAATTTAAATTTCGCTTAAAGTGGATGGCCACAGGTATTCTAAGCCATTTTGTGAAGTTTTGAAATTTTTTATTTTTTTCTTTTATTTTTTTATTTTTTTCGGCACCTAAAAAAAATAAAATTTCGCTCAAAGTGGGTGGCCACTAGGGGTGAGCATGGTCCGGGTTGGGCCGGTCCACCCCCTAACCCTAGGACCAACCCGCATAGTGTTGGTCCTCAATTTTGGGACCGAGGACCGCCCGTCGGTTCCATGGACCCGCCCGGGAACCGGACCGGACCGAACCGGTCCCACCAAGTTTTCCTTGACAAATAAAAAAAAATATGTGGACCAACATCGGATCAATGGAACAAAAAGAAAAAAAAAGAACATAACTTTCCATACAATTCCTATACTATGATCGGTTCTATTAACCACATCATCCATAAATCAAGTGGGTACCCATCAAATGAGTGTCCAGAGATAAGAGAGCAGAGAGTTATGAGTGTCTAGTTACGTTTTTTTTTTTTTTTGGTCAAATTTTTTTAATTAAAATTTTAAAAAATAAATATATTATTATTATATTACCGGTCCGGTCCGGGTGGGCGGGTGGGCGGTTCCACACCGGGAACCGGGAACCGGACCGATACCCACCGGTTCCAAAAAATTGGGCAAGGGAGCCGACGGTCCCCTTGGGAACCACCGGTTCCCGGTCCGGTCCCGGCGGTCTGGCGGTCTGGCGGTCTTGGGTTTTTTGCACACCCCTAGTGGCCACAGGTATTTTAAGTCATTCTGTAAAGTTTTGAAATTTTTACTTTTTTGCTTATTTTTATTTTTTTTGGCATATAAAAAAATTTAAATTTCACTCAAAGTGGGTGACCACAGGTATTTTAAGCTATTCTGTAAAGTTTTGAAATTTTTTATTTTTTTTATTTTTTTCGGCACCTAAAAAAATTTAAATTTCACTCAAAGTGGATGGCCACAAGTATTCTAAGCCATTCTGTGAAGTTTTGAAATTTTTGATTTTTTGCTTTTTTTTTATTTTTTTCGGCACCTAAAAAAATAAAATTTCGCTCAAATTGGGTGGCCACAGGTATTCTAAGATATTCTGTGAAGTTTTTAAATTTTAGAATTTTAGAATTTTTTTTTGCAACTAAAAAAATTAAATTTTGCTCAAAGTGGGTGGCCATAGGTTTTCTAAGCCATTTTGTGAAATTTTTTTTTTTTTATTTTTATTTATTTTTTTCGGTACCTAAAAAAATTTAAATTTCACTGAAAGTGGGTAGCCACAGATTCTAAACCATTCTGTTAAGTTTTGAAATTTTTGATTTTTTGCTTTTTTTTTCTCACCTCAAAGATCGTGACTTCCATATGAATATGTGTGTTGAAGAAAATGAATTCCTCAAAAATGGTTCTCACTTTTGTTCCAGAAATGAAAAACCAACTTTTTTTTGGTTCTCATTTCTGGTTTCAGAATCAGTTTTGGAAGCAAACTTGTCCCGGAAATAGAAAAATGAAATTGCGTTACCAAACGGGTTTCTGGTCCAAAACTGATTCTGAGAACAGAAAACCAGTTCTGGACAGAACCAGAATGGTTTTCATGCAGCACCTAAACCTACTTTAAGTCAAAATCGATTTCCATTTTCTTGTACCTGATGACCATTTTCTTTTATCAGAGTATGTTCTTTATCCTCACATTCATTTTCCTCATTAGCTCAGACGTCTTTCATGGCAAAAGATGAAAGGACTTTGACCTCTTAAGATAGGATTTTCTCGAGGGAAATTTTGTTAGGTTGCAGTAAAAATCTTCTTTAGGACAAAGAAAATTGCCTTTCTCTTATGCCTCGACCACTTTTTTTTTTATTTTCAGAGTACATTCTTTTTCGTCTCATTCATTTCGTTCTCCAACTCAGATGACCTTAAGCGGCAAAAAAGGAAAAGGACTTTCGTGATCTTTCAAGATTGCATGTTCTTGAGTGTAATTTTTGTAGGGGGACTAAACCTATTTTAAGGGTGTGTTTGTTTTGGTGAAAATGTTTTGCCGGAAAGTGTTTTCTGGACTTTCATCCGTTTGGTTCTTCAAAAATGATTTGGTCAACTGAAAATACTTTTCGGTCAATATAAATATCATGTTTAATTTTAGGAAAGTGAATTCCCTTATCTAAGAAGTTGAAAACACTTTTCGAAATTGCTCTTTGAATTTGTTAATATTTTTTATTTTCTTTTCTTTATTTTTTTCTTTTCTTTCTAAAAAGGAAAACATTCATGTATTTCTTTTTCTTAATAAAAATAATTTAAAATTAACAAATAATTTA